TTTTTGATCTGGGTTCATTAAAAGGTATATAATACTTGATTGCACTGCCAGTCGTACTGAAAGCCATATTTTTCTTTTATTATTATTATTATTATATATGAAAACTTGAATGTTTATTTTCTATGTTCAAAATTGTAACTATCAGTGTACTTTCACTTTCCTAACATTTTTATTTTTAATATTAAATATCTTATTTAGATAATTTAGATGGCCAAAAAAAAAATCTTTAGCATAAGCATGAAAGATTAATTTGTGCATAAGTTAGGAAATCTCATATTGATGATTAATTAAAGAAAATTTTGTGAATCTAAACATAATGTGGTGTTACCCTATTAATGAAAAATTAATTTTAAATTGAATGATCACATGATACTAGAGTGCTGATCAGTTTGTTAACCTACTTGCAGAGGCCAAGTTGATATCAAACTTCCAATATGTTTTATTTTTTTGGCCCTATGTTAATTAGGAAAAATCTCATATCATTAAAAACTGAATTTCATCTAAAGCTTCTCTCAAAAAGGAAAGGGGTGAAAAAAAGAGAAAGAATTACTACTCCTACTTTAGTAGGAGTCCATTATAAAAAACACACAAACAACAAAGTTGTCATTGTCTAGTATTCCGACCAAACTTAAATTTGTCATTGACTTGTGGAGTAGAATTTAACTCCTGGCTTCATGCATTGTATGTTTAAAAATCAATATATAAATTGTTTTATTGTGTTTATTGAAAAAGAACATATCTATTTATATATATATATATATATTTTTATATTATATTTATATAAAATTTTAATTTTTTTATTTTTAATAGTTGAGATTTATTATACGTTTTAAATAAAAAAATTTATCTTTAAATAAATCTTAACCATTAAAATTGATAAATAAATAGTAAAAATTTTGTATAAATATAATGTATAAACTTAGTATGTAAATGAATTCCTACTCTTGTAGAAATTTTGAATTACAACGAAATTGCTCCCTTCATTCATTTTGACTAGTAGGTTTGTTTTTCTCATTTTTTTTATTAAAATAAGAATGTAATAATTAGTAATTGATAAAATTTCTTAGGCTTCTTATTTAATATGCCTTCTAGTTGGATTTAGTTGCCTAATTTGATTTTTATATAAAATTTGACTAGACAATTTTATACTTTCTCTATGCATTTTTAGTAGACGTAATTTTTCTTTGCTCAATTAGATAAAGATGTAATAATTTATTAATAAAATTCATATTTATTCCTAATTAAATACTACTTTAATAAAAATTTTTATTTAATATATATTATAATTATCTTTTTAAAACGATAGTAAAATATGAATAAATACATTGAATGAAATCCTAAAAAGGAAAAGTAGATAATTAAATTTAAATACTCTGAATAGAAAATTGGATTTATTAAAGTTGAATGGAGGGAGTAGTAAATAGATGACAATTGATTTTTTTTTTTTTCATACATGTAGTACTTGTTGAATATTTTTATTTAGATAAAAAAAATTTAATTATTGTTCATTTACTATATAAAATCATTGGGTCAAATTCTATATAAAAGTTAGATTGAGACAACTAAATCCAATATAAGGGAGGATATGTTGTAATTAGCTTTTTAAAATAGGAATAAAATAGGAATAAAAGTATTAAATGATATCCTATAAAAGGAAAAATAGACAACTAAATTTGAATGCCTCAAATTAAAAATTAGACTTACAAAAGTTGAATGAGGGAGTAATAGCCAAAAATAATACTGACTCTATCTCACAATAATAGATATTTTTGGATTTTATTTTTACCTATTTTACCTTTGAAAAAGGAATAAAATAAAGAGATTTTTTTATGATAAGATAAATAATTAAAGTTAAGAGATAAGATAGAAAAAAAAATGTCTCCTTTAAAATATAAAAAAATAATTATTATTCTAAAACAAATTATAAATAAAAAAAGATTTATTATTTTAAAATGAAGGGAGTAACATAATGAGTTGTGGTTAAGTTTGGTAAAAAAATTTACATCCTATTTTATTAAACAAAGTTTTTTTTTTGGAAAACAATGATGAGATTACTCCTCATGAATTTCCCAAATCCAAACATGAATGACCTGCCTTAGTGTGTTTGGCCAAACTAAAGAGAGATTAGTGTGTGGTCAAGTTGGTCTAGGAACTGTTAAACCAAGAAAAAAGAAAGACATAGATATAACAAAACAAATGCTTTAGTTTCATTTTCTAAA